TGCACGAGACACACAAAACACGCAGACTTCAGGAAGATCCCTTTGGCTGGGGGAGCCGGCAAGGGCTTCTTTCAGGGGCAGCCCTTGAGTTGGCCCTTGAAGGATGGCTGTGACAAGGACTGGTGGCTGACAGGACCCTGGTCTCAGGGATAGCGATTAAATAGCTATAGTTCTCAGGGACAGTTTGGGTTCTTCTCTGTAACTACTTGGGCTCCAGGCCCTCATCATTAAGAGTTTGAACTTCACTTCTAAGAAGGCCTTCAAGTCTCACATTCGATGCCTTTTGAAACTGGAATGAGAGGCAAAAAGATCACGGTGACCCAGGCCCATTTTCTGATTTCGTTACTTAGTTGTGTTTATGGGTGAATTTCTCACTCACTTTCTGCTTTTTGCTCTTAATTTTCTTTTCTGGTTTCTTCTCTTCATCTTCCTGGGACAATAGCAATCCAATTTACCTTTTATCCTCCCTTACTACCTAAGCCTTGAAAAATGCAAGTCCAAAATCACCTATTACTAGTAATTGTCTCTAAATTGCTTCAATAATTTGCAAGGACAAAAGGGAACCAAGAAGGATTAAAAAGCCAAACACCCTGAGGAACAGGTTTCTAAACAGTTAGGACCTGGCATAGGCATTCACCAGAAATGCCTTCAAGCATTTACAATACCCACCTCTGTAGTCTAAGACCCTGAATTATGAGGAGAGCAGATGGATTTTAAAATTGCTTCCGCCTGATCCGACTATGATTCTTTTGGGTGGGTGAAAAAGGATAAAATAATAGAAAATGACTGTTGCCTGGTTACTTGGCTCAGAGAAATGGAGAAATCAAGCCATGTCCCAGTTTAAATGATTTCAGGTGGAGCAGCCATGCCAGCGATCCCTCAGCAAACACAGCGGCACCTTTGGTTTTTGAAATGTCCCTGTGGGGTCTCGACCCTAGACCTGGGGAGGGCCTTTAGGGATCATATGATCTTTCATACAGAAAGGACGGCATTTAAACCACCCCGAACAGCGGAGCTTCCCTAATGACTGAAGCCTCCCAGAGAAGAAAATGCCATCCATGCGAATCTCTGGATTTATTTATACTCTAATTGTGGACAAATGTCTTCCTCAAATAAAATGTTAGCAGTCTTAAATATATCCTTTTGAAATACTCTATCCCTCTTCCTTGCACCTTCAGGAGCTAGAAAACAGCTGACCATCATGCACTTGTTAAAATTCCTTTCCTGACCCTTGTGGGGTCCACCCTGAGTTTCTTTCTCTTGGGTTTTATTTTTAAGCTGTTTTCTTTTGGGTTTAAGTATTTTGCTTTCACTCCAGCCTCATCCACAGGCTTTTAAAACTGGAACCCAGAACTGGACAGTACCTTTCAATAGGCTAGAACCATGCCCACAGGCTACAGCCTGTTTTCTTTTCTTTTTT